CCTAGATATTCTTATGATAATTAAATTTGTATACCAAATTTCATTTCAATATGTGCAACCTCTGCGGCGAAAATGAACAGAAACTGATGATGGACTGACAGACAGCAGCAAAGCAATATGCCCTCCCTTCTTCGAAGGGGTACATAATTAAAACATCAAACATTGATCAATATTAAATTATTACTTTGATCCAAATGACATAACTACATGTTATAACTACATGTTTTTTAAATTGAAAAAAGGTGCACATATACTGAAAGGAAAAAGAAACGCATAATAAACTTTTGCATAAAATTAAAACTTTTATTTCCAATATGTTTTCCAGTATTGTTATCAAACATTTTAGTTCAACTTTAAACAACATGTAACCGAAATCTTGTGTGACTTTGACTGATAATTCCTGAGTTATTGAAATTGATATGTTGATACCCCCCAAAATTAAAATAAAAATTCTCATCATCTCCCTTGCTCATCAGTAACAGCCTTGATTTTCTTGTGCATTGAGTTCACCAGACCATTTATCTTTCTCAAGGATTATCATTCAAGCCTTCCGACGGTAGTCTTAATGGTTGAGAGTAGCTGTATTATTCCAAAGCCAACAAATCCCCCGCCCAATGAATCCCAAGAATTTTCGATTTAGGATAGAATTTACAGAATCTAGCCGATTTGGTACATGTGAATATTTGTGAGGAAGTATCGACAAACACTGGCTACATTTTTTCAGCGTGAGCATGCTAAAAACATACTACAAAATGTGATCACAAAATTGTCATCATCAACATGCACGTGTATTTGGCTTTTTATCACTTCCCCTACGTGACACCATACATTTCATGGTTGAGTAATTTTGACCAGCGATTTTTGTGCACAGTAACCAAAATACACACCTGACCAATTTTCGTAATTTTCGGCCACATAGTTAAATAATTTTCGCTATTATGCTATTATGCTATTATGTGTTTCTTTTTCCTTTCAGTATATATAAACATTAAGAAAATGAAACAGTTATTCATATTAAACATAAAATAAAAATACTGACAATTAAAAAGACCAATTATATGCATTTCACAAAACTTAAAAATAAAATTATACTCATCCAGATATGCTAAAATATAAAATGTAGAGTCTACCTTTTCGAAAAGGTCATTGGCGATGGCAACTTTATTTGACGCCATTGTTATGCACCTTAATATAGATAGTATCAACAAGTGCTTGTACACACCTTGTCAAGGAAGGATATAAGGATCTAACTTTAATTTCATTTCTCCTATCAGACAGTTTATAGATAGGGGGCTTAATGGAGGGGCAGTCAAAATTTTAATATATACATGTGTAATCAGTATTCTAGTCCTCCTCATACCGTGATTTCTTTAATCTTTTGCAATGATTATAAACTTATGACTTTCTCTATCGTTTACATAAAATGAAAAATTACTCCAATATGTATTTCAATCCTAACTTCAAAACTCTGTACGAGTTTTTCAAATAAAAACTTACATCACTATATTGCATAAACCTGTCTAGCTATTACAGCTAGCATATATATAAATGTACATGTCAGTCATGTACCTTTATACATGTTGTGTCTATAATTAGGACAATAATTATAAGTTTTGTTTTTTAAAATTATTCCTCTCTGAATGAAGAACAAATTACCTATATCTATAGCCTTAATGGTACCTCCTTCTGATAAAAGATTTAATATTGATTTAATCATTGAAAGATAAAACTACCAGTGAAGATCTTTTGCTTTGAACACTTGAAGTTCCATGATACTGTCACAAACATGTATTTGGGGAATTTGAATTGTCCTCAAAAACACTGTTAAGGAGTTCTATACCCAAGAATACAAAATGGAGTATTTACAGGTACACAGGTACATATTCTTCTTTTACTTAACTGAATAAAGTAAAAATGTATTATGCATTCATTTAAAGATGATTTTTATCTCTTTATTAAATGATATCTTCTGTATTTACAAAAGGTACTACTGTACTTTAATTACATGTATATATTAACATGATGATTTACATTGTCATCCTTATCCCCCCCCCCCCCCCAAAAAAAAAAAAAAGAAAAGATGCTCCTTTAAGATCTTTGTTTATAAAATGAAAGTGCAGCACTGCAGGTTAAATTTTGTTGTTGTTTACTGCATAATAATCCTCAAAATAACAAACTGTAAAGTATTGAGTAGCTAAATAATTTAAATACCTGGTACATGTACCCTGGTATTTAGTTTCTTGTCATCACCAACTAAACCATCTGAAAAATCATGTACATGTGCTACATATATGACTTATAAAATGACCATGAAATGTCATAACTTTGAAGGACTAAGCAGGGGGAAAATGTTTCATATACATGTACCAGCATGGTTATAAAACATCTAAAAACTTATAAAAAAGATATATTCCTCTAATTTTTTTAGCCTTGGCCTTTGGACATGCAGCCATGCAACAAAAGCCTAATAAAACCCAGTTTGGCATTGATTTGGCATCAAACTTTCATTGAAAATCATAAACAAATGATATATGATCGCAATAGACAAAGTTATAATCAATAAACTATACATATTATATAAATTTTTCATTCCTGTCAATATAATTTACATGGAACTTTCATGTTTGATGAAGAAGAGTTTAAAAGTTCAAACCAAGACTAATATGTCAGCTAGTTTTTGCAGTTCTTTCCGATCTGTTATTCCTAACAGATTGATTATTGAGTATAGAAAAGTTTACCTTAATCTACCTTAAAGGGACATGTACAAGTGCAGTTTGAGCAAAGCTGGCACTTGTTTCGGAAATAAATTTTTAACCCATAGTATAATAATAACACAAGTTATCTAACTCTGAATTACACTCGATACCCCCCTCCTCAGAAACGCACTCATTTACAATTTCAGAGGAAATGTAATGACAAAGTGTTTAATATCAATGTCTTCTACGATAATTTATCTACACAAGCATATATGGCATGCATGTCTTTGTTTTCGTTTATCTCCGTAAGCAGTGTCAACTCTGCTCCCCGAGTGGAAAAGTCGAACTAAACCACGAAACGGTATGTGCTAATCTTGGGCAAAGAACAAAATTTAAAAATTAGTGGGTTAAAAAATACACACAATTCCAGATTTGAATTATTGCATTGAATGATTAGAATTTGATTAAGTCTCATTTTCCATCAAAACACTACAACATTTTTTCGATGTAATTTTAGAAGCAGATTTTTAGCCAATCAAAATCTCGGTGCAGGATTAGCACACACCAATTGTGGTTTAGTTAGACTTTTCCATTCAGCAAGCAGGGTTTTGACCCTGTTTACGGAGATAAACGAAAACAAAGACATGCATGCCATATATGGTTGTGTAGATCAATTATCGTAGAAGACAATGGCATTAAACACTTCGCCATTGCATTTCCTCTAAAACTGTAAATGAGTACGTTTCTGGGGAGGGGGGTACCGAGTGTAATTCAGACTTAGATACCTTGTGTTATTACTATACTATGGGTTAAAAATTTATTTCCGAAACAAGTGCCTGTGAGTTTGAGCTAAAAATTTCAAATTCATCTTTCCATTTTTTTACTTTTACAAACATTTAACTAAGGATTTTCTAATGATCATCAAAAAGTTGAATTTCATTTATCAAGATAGATACAAGAGGATTTAGAGCTCTAAACCTTTTGTCATGTATGTGCCATGTTTTTGTTTACATAAATAAAATATATTTACTAATATATGTTCATTCAAAGCAGACTTTTTTCAATAAAGAAGTTTAATTATTCTAAATAGGATTAGACAGTTTCTAGAGATTTGCTGAATCTTTTTTTGTTGTAAATATGATAAATTCTATAAATAAACAAAAATAAGGTATGAGCCTTGTTTACATTATGAATAACTTTAAGTTCTGCATCTCCATTTTAAATCAACAAATGATGTTAAAATTTTTGCTGATCATTAGAATTGCCTTAGTTGGGAATTGTATATATTTACATTCTTATTGGTTTTTAATAAAACTGGTTCAAACTGTGTCCATGTCCAGTTAAGGTTAGCATCTGAACATGATGTCAATAATTCTTTTGAATCAGTTAACTTTTGAAATCCTTGCATATATTACATTTTATGAACCTGGACCTGTAGCTCTCTGGCTGGCTTGTCCTTTTGAATTTTTCACGTCCAGAGAACCACAGCTCTACAACTTATATCAAAAATGCAAGGTCATTAATAAATAACAAAAGTTTTTGAATTAAAAAAAAAATCTTATATGTTCATATATTTTCAGATTGTGAAGACACAGAAAATTTGAAATATGGATGTAAGCTGTTGCTCTTGACCATTCAGTTCAATGAGGGGTATAGCACAGGCACTTGTTTCATAACGGGGTACCCCCTACTTATATTTACCACAAGGTATCTAACTCATTTTCAGGAACACCACTCCCCCCCCCGGCTTCAAGCTCATATTTTGTTTATATATCAAATGAAAAACTACTTTAAAATGACATTGTTTGCTTCATGAGACTTTTCACTTGTCAATAACAACGTTTTAGACGTCTCTGGTCGAGCTTCTTTATTATAAACTACTCATTTATTCCTCAAGTACATTTTAAGACTTTTCTTGAGATACAAGTAGTCCCGGTTGGAGTTACAGATTAGGGATAAAACAAGAGACCTCAGAATGGAATACTCGGAAGCCTCTGGTTTTATCGTACCCTCAACCGGAAGTTGTATCCTGATAAAAGTCTTAAAATGTATCAAGGTAAATTCAAGAAATAAATGAGTGGATACAATAAAGATTTAATTGACAAGAAAAAGTATTTTGAAGCGAATGATGTCATTTTATATTAGGTTTTTATTTGATATATTAACAAAATACGAGATTGAAGCAGGGGTGCCTGAAAATGAGTTAGATACCTTGTCAGGCTTGTGGTAAATATAAGTAGGGGGTACGTACCCTGTATACGAAACAAGTGCCTGTGGGGTATAGGACTTCATGATGATGATAGATCTAGAACTCCTACCTGTTGCTCTAGCATGCTCGAGGTTCATTGCGAGATACTTTTGACCAGGCGTATAAGGAGTGTAGGAACTTAACGCAGGCTCTTGTAGGAGTAGAACACAAGCAGTCATCTTTACCAAAATTACATAATTTCATGGACTGCCTAAATTTAGCAGTTTACGACTTACTAAAATTGTTCGGCTCATGCGCGTAGGGCTATTCATAATCTCATCGAGATGGGTAGAGACTGAAACTTTCCAGATGGGTAGTAGACGTCAGACCAAAATTTCAGTCTCTACCCATCTCACTGAGATTAGGCTATTCATTCTGCCTATCATATATCATGATAAATGTATGCTTTATTATTAAAAGGGAAATTGTAAATACCACAGTCTAAACATTTAATATCAGGTATACCGTACAAAGCGGGAAACATTTGTTGCTTATTTCGCCCAATATTATTTTAGACCAAACTATGATAATGCGTCTGCTAAGCTCATAAATTATTCAACTCTGCACTATGCTCCGGTGCATCATGAAATGTTTCAATATCATGTGCAACAAATACAAAGTCTTATTTGAAAATAGTACCTTAGTAACGTATCGTCTAGCAACCTTATTTTCCATGATTTTCTTATCTTTCAGGAATGTAAACACCAGATTTTAGCGCCCTCTTTCAACCGGGAAATAATAACTTTTGAATCGAACATGTATAAAAATTCCGGAAAATTGGAGGAAAAAAATCCAATGATCGTTTGCTGCTTGATTCTTCAGTATCTAGTATCAAGATAACGGCTGTTTTGAAAAAAAGTATTAAATTTCGAAAAAAAAATATTCATACTAAAAAAAAGACCACAGGCACATGACGAAAATTACTTGTATTTTTACATATCGCTAGTATTTTTTTATACCCCCCACCCCACGAAATAGGATTTTCGAGTATGGGCATTTTTTTTTTGTTTTTGCTTATCAACTTTTACAGGTAAGTAAAAAAAAAATTCTCTGGCCGCCTCCCCCCTCCCCCCCCCCCCCCCCCCCCCACCAACACACAGACACTTTCAAAACGATGATACGTGCCTGAAATCTTAACCAAAGCGGAAAATGATATCAGATATCGAAATATAAGAATGATCGACTAGGAAATTATGCATTTTTGAGAATTTTTGTGCCTAATAAAAATTCTCAAAAGCTGGGGTGGGTGGGGTTACACCATCCATTCGTCAGGTGCCTGTGATCTAGATTTCAAACTCTGCCTTCCACCTTCCATATATTGTATATATATAGTTGTAGGGCGCAATAAGAGATACAAATGAATGCAACACATGTATTTTGTTTCAAAAATGTTTAAAAGTAAAAAAAAAATATGATTTTGAGTCATGTCTACATAACTTGCTTGAATATTTGTTCACTCTCAGGAATATACTAAAAACCTTATGGAAATAGATTCCCATTTTAAAGAAGTGATGCTCTCTAAAATATATTCATTTTAATTATTATTTTTTAACCTCAAGTATTCTACAGTACATGGAAAATAATAAGTACTGTACGTACACATTGAAATAGACTTCAAATATAATAAAGCTGCAATGTAATGAAAAAATTCTGGTTTAAAAATTTAGTGAGCCACATATGCACTCATTAATGATATTCAGAAATCATTAATTTGCTTCCAGTGTCATGAGAAGAAATTCTTAATTTTCATCTATTGCTTGCTAAATAATTCATTGTGTTCTGCCATCGAGAGCGACACAGTTCGCTATCCTGCAAATTTTCACACTAAGAAGTCATCAATATTTTAGCAAAGAACGGGAGCGATGAACGAAAAAACTCTCACCGGATAAATAATGCAAGTATCTCTCCTAGTCCGTATGTACCAACGGTAAAAAAAAGAGTAATTCGGGAGGGGGGAGGGTCTGCCGAACATATTAGCGTAGACGTCTTTTTAAAATATCTTAAGCTATAAGGATGCATTCTTTTTTAAGAGAACACCGTCATATTGTGATATTTGCATTACAGTGTGGTATTAAACTTCAAATGACGAATTGTAATTTTTATATGTATCACCATCCGTTATAATTTTAACAAATATCAATGAAACAACACCCTACATAACATAATTATGTAACAACGATTCAATGGCTAGTTCCGACATAAAAGAAAATTCAAAATAAGGGACCCGTTCAAAGATATTCCAAGCAATCTAAGGAAGAACTTCATATTCTACATAAAGTCCCTCAATTTCTTGAGGATTTGATATTTTTTATTAAGCTACAAAAAGAACGTAATCCTCTCCTTTTCCAATGAGAAAAATCTCAATCAAACTCATTGAGCAATTTTGAAAAGAAAAAAGAGAAGCTTTTAACATATATAAAACTGGTCATACAGATTTGTTTTATAATAATGTGTAAAAAAAAAAAAAAGTATGATCATCAAAGAAAAGAAATATTTCAGTTAATTAAAGCAAATTTCCAAATAAATGTTCTGTTTTGTTCTACAATAAACCCGAGTAGGTGTAAATTCAAAAGTAAGAATATTTACACTCGACGGAGTAAATTGAAAGGTTAGAGTTTAATATCTTCCTAAACATTCGATTGTTTATTCCTAATATATGATAGTCGAAATCATTGAAACAGAGCCGAGGTTTGGATTATGAGTTTGTGAGTCGCCATTGAGTATGAAATTTCTTTTCTTTCTGTTATTGAACACATTGTGCCAGAGAGAGAGAGAGAGAGAGAGAGTATATATACTTGCAATAATTTACTTCTTTCAATTCTTGTAAATTGATATTGTATATAGAAGAAGAATGCACTTAGGGGATATCAATAAATTAATTTCAGCACATTTCCTCGGCAACTTTGCGTTGGGAACTGATGTAAATTATTTATTTATTTATACTTTCAATTCTTGATGGATTTCCTGCAGTCTGAATAATTTATCAGAATCCTGCTATTGCTCGAGTTCTAATCCGAAATACCTCCAATAAAAACAAAATCTAGTGGTACGAATTTGCTAGAGGTGATATTCCTCCTTTCTACTTTGTCTTTGTTCAAATAAAATTTGATACTCTTTCCATTATTTATTGATTCGTAAATATTAAAGACATCGAATTTCTGATTTCAAAGTTCAAACAAGGATAATACTATTGCCGAGATTGATTGATTGATTGAGAGAGAGAGAGAGAGAGAGAGAGGTTATTAGTCTTTAGTTCTTGATTGTTTAAATATATATTTTTAAAAAATACTCAACTCAGACAATGTATTACATACAAACTGAATTTGATATTTAATTAATTCTTTGACTTTTAAAATCATTTCCCTTGAATTGCACCGAAGCAGAGATAATTTCATTTAAATTTTAAAATCAAAGCAGTAATAACTAGTGCTAATTGTAACGGGAACCGTTACAGATGTTCCCCAAACGCTCCCCAACTCCCTTCTCGTGCCATATTCCCTGTAATTTTCATTAAAGAAGGCAAAATCTATGCATTTAAGACGTAAACAACGTTTTCCCAAAAGTATACCAAGTATTTCAAATTTAAGCAATGCAGGCGTGCGCATGTGATTGCATGAGCGTAATGACGATATCATCTTGTCTACACTATTTTACTCATATGCACGTGCATGCACGTGCATGATGACCATACCTTCTTGTAGGAGTCCATTATGTCTGTCTATGTTCTTAATCCCATCCTGTTTGGTTGAAAAACAAGGGAGTTATAGCCATTTAAAGTTTAAGCCAATCAGATTGCAGCGCACGTGCATGCGCGTGATTTCATGAAAAATTTTATATATCATATTGTAGTACATCCTAATACATGTCTCTATGTTATAAATTTGAAAGCATTTAATCATAAAACAAAAAAGATATTAAGATTTCTGTTTCAGCCAATCAGAGCAAAGCGCACGTGCATGCGCGTGTTTTCATGACAATTATTATATATCTTATTGTAGGACATCTTAAAGTATGCCTATGTTTTAAATTTCAAAGCATTTTGTGAAAAAACAGAAATAATATAGAGATTTTTGTTTCAGACAATCAGAGCAAAGCGCACGTGCACGCACGTGCATGCATGTGAATGTTGACCATACCATCTTGTAGGAGTCCTTTATGTCTATCTATGTTCTAAATCCCATGCTGTTTGGTTGAAAACCAAGGGAGTTATAGTCATTTAAAGTTTCAGCCAATCAGATTGCAGCGCACGTGCATGCGCGTGATTTCATAAAAAATTTTATATATCATATTGTAGTACATCCTAATACATGTCTATGTTATAAGTTTCTACGGAAGCCCGTTGGTGCCACGTACGAAAAATATTTTATCTGTCGGCCGCCACTTATTATTTGGCGGCCGCCACTTGTATATCTGGCGGCCGCCACATAATTATGTGGCGGTCGCCACTCATTATTTGGCGGCCGCCACTTATATATCTGGCGGCCGCCACTTAATATCTGGCGGCCGCCACATAATCTATATGGCGGCCGCCACATAGTTTTAATGGCGGCCGCCACATATTTTTCTGGCGGCCGCTATATAATATCTGGCGGCCGCCACATATTTTTCTGGCGGTCGCTACATAATATCTGGCGGCCGCCACATAAATTATCTGGCGGCCGCTATATAACATCTGGCGGCCGCCACTTATTATTTGGCGGCCGCCACATGATTTATCTGGCGGCTGCCACTTATTTAATTGGCGGCCGCCAAATATTTATCTGGCGGCCGCCACTTATATATCTGGCGGCCGCCACATAATTTATATGGCGGCCGCCAGATAACACCTGGCTTCCTGAATCGCGCGCATGTTTTAATGTGTGGTTTAAGAGGTGGATACAGTGTAAAAATTATAATAGCAACATCAATCAACCAAACTTGTAAGAGATTTATTATGAACCAACACTCCAATCCACACTTCTAATAGATATGTTTTTGCATAGAGCAGATTAATATTTGATTTGAATTATGCAAGTATTTGTAGAGTGTTTCGATTATTAAGAAGCCTCATCAGGGGTCACGGACATAAATCATGGTGTTTGCTGTAAGCTATGATTGGTTGAGAATTAAATGAAGTTTTGCATTTTGGATTTCCAAGAATGGTGTTCCAGTATTTCAGAATTCGTTTTTTATCATTTACTTTTTTATCAATATTATAAGCAGCGGTTGTGTCAACATCCATCATCTTAACCCAATAACACTCACCTTCTGCAAAATAATTTATGTGGCGGCCGCCATATAAATTATGTGGCGGCCGCCAAATAATAAATGGCGGCCGCCAGATATTAAGTGGCGGCCGCCAGATATATAAGTGGCGGCCGCCAAATAATAAGTGGCGGCCGCCAGATTTATATGTGGCGGCCGCCAGATATATATGTGGCGGCCGCCAAATAATAAGTAGCGGCCGCCAGATATACATGTGGCGGTCGCCAATTAATAAGTGGCGGCCGCCAGATAAAATATTTTTCATACGTGGCACCAACGGGCTTCCGTAAGTTTCAAAGCATTTCATCATAAAACAAAAAAGATATTAAGATTTCTGTTTCAGCCAATCAGAGCAAAGCGCACGTGCATGCGCGTGAGTTCATGCAAATTTGACCATGTCATCTTATGTACACAACTTATATATCTCTATATAATGAGTTTCAAAACATTTTATCAAAAAATATAAAAGTTACAACCATATTAAATATATCAGTCAGTTTACTCATTGCACGCGCCCGCACGTGCATGCGAATGCGCGCAAAATGACCTTCGTTCGGCACATCTACACAACATGCCTACTAACCCTAAAAAGGTTTT